CGCCTTGTAGTGGCCCTCTTTGTAGAACTCGGGGGCCATCCACGGCACTTGCTTCGCCCCTTCTTTGTTGTGCTGCATGGCCACCCAATGCGTCGTCATCACGAAGCTGGTCACGAAGTGAGGGCCCCTGCTCTGTGCGTCGACGGCTTCTCCTTGTTCTGCCATGGCCTTGAGCTCCTGGGCCTGGTCGTTGTAGTCCACCCCTGCGCTCTCGTTCATCGCCGCGAATTCCGTGTCCGCGCAGATGTCGCATATGCGATGCACCGTGCTCGGCACCTCTGCCCACGCGCTGCTGTCCATGAGCACGAGCTTGCCGAGGAGGATGAGCACCAGCTTGATCAGAGCGTCTTGCCCTCGTGCTGCCTTCCTCACCTCCTCCCTGACGCCTGCGTCGCCACCACGGCCCCTTTTGCTCATAGGGCCTGACCATGGGTCCCTCCTCCACGCGGGACGCTCCAGCGCCTCTTCGTCCTCCATCTCCGACATGAGCGGCTGGCCCAGGAGGAGATGATACGCCAAAATCTGCCTCTGTGTCAGGGGATATGGACGGGCCCACCTCGCACGGGAGGTGGCTTGTGGCCAAATGGCTGCATAAGTTGTCCACATCGCTGGCGTGATATCCGCATATTCTGCATTCCAATGATTGTGGAGGCCGAATTCCCGAGAAAGTTGCCGAGCCCCGCGACGGACATTTACCACTCATGAGGGCCCTCTGGAGGCGCTTGTACGCGTTATCCTGGCTAGCGAATACACGTCTGCATACGATGCATGTGTTAGTGGGGGTCAGCGTAGCGGATAGATTGTGTACTTGATGTATTTGGCGCATATGGTTCATGAGGCCCCCCTTGGCCTGGAACCCGTGCCCACATACCTTCCCCACCTCCAAGACCCATTCGCACTTACAAGGGAACTCCAGAGGTGCACCTGGGGTGTCCTGCTTTTCTGTCACGTAGAGGTCCGAGGGAGGAATCACCTTTGCCAGCTCGCGTGCACGGATCCCCGTAAAGTCCACACGAGTCCAGAACTCCCGATGCTCATCATTCACTATGTCGCCTGGACAGCGAGCAACGTGAGCACACAGGTCGCCCTCGTCGAGCGCATCTGCCGCACGCCGAAAACCGGCCTGCAGTTGAAGAAGCCACGGAGATGCCACTTTGTGAATAACTGCGTTGTCATGCAGCGGTTGGCCCCCCACGTCCAGGCCCAGGACCCCGAACAACAAGCAAAGCTCCTGACTGTGGTTCTTCGGGGCTAGGGCCCAGGTGCGATGCCACCCCAGACGCCTGCCCAGCAACTCCGTTTCCGAACTAGCGAGGCGCCAATGCTGCATCACTTTCTTGCTTGACCACGATCGAGTCTCCCCATCCACCTTCGTCGTCGCCTTCCCCTGCAGCGCCCTCCTCCCGTAACGAGCCAGAAGCGAATCGAGTTCACGATATTGACGTTTAGTGAGCAGCATTGGTTCTAATCCAGTGAGCGCCGCGTTCTGCACGAAACTCAGAAACATAGTCCGCTTCCAGCGGAACGGCAACTCCAGGGGCCATATCTGGCCCAAAGCGTAGTACGACTCAGCGGTAGCTTGAATTATGCGACTAATCTCCATTGAGGAGGATGACAGCATATTAATTTTGGGGCCCAGGTACCGCGCATGCTCCTGAAGATCTCCTGCCAGTTGTTTTCGACCCTGACCCCTCGCCCACTGTTGACACTGTAATGCCCCGGGTCCCTGAAAGCAAAGCTGCACCTCCTGCTTCCCGATGTTTTGTGCGTACCCAATCTCCTCCAACTCCTCCGAAAGGGCCACATCTGCTTGCTTCGGGATCCGAAAGCAAAAAACTTCCCACGGTACCGTGAGGTTGGGCCGCGTGAGCTCTAAAGATGTCGTCGGCATTAAGGCAGCCACCGACGTCAGCGCGCAAATCTCGCCAACTAGCCACCAGCCCCGCAGCAGACTTGTCCAAATCTCTAAGACGACGAAGCCACTGCAGGATGGGTCGAGAAAAAGTTCCCCGAAAGAGCTCCACGACAAACGGATCTCCCACCGTTCCTCCTTCCCCCGTCTTGATGCACATCCCCCCTCCATGGTCTCCAGCCAGACCACACTGCATCGAAAACGTTGAACGCACAAATCTACATCCTGAGGTTCTGCGTGGAGCTCTACTGTCTGATCAAGTTCACCCCAATCCCCACTGGCGAAAGCGTTGGACATGTCTTTAAACGTGAAAGCGAACGAGCGTCCAGCGCATCGAAGGCGCCAGCAGAGGAGCTGTGCAACTAAAATAGCTCCTTCTCGACGTCTACCTTTGCAAAAGCCGTGCTCAGTGACCATGGGAGGAACCCGAAGAAGGCCTGAATAAAAAGCTTCCCCCGCCGTCGGCAATGCATGGGCCGCCCTGCGGCCCGCAGGTCCTGGCTTGACGTTTTTTGTTGTTCTCGAAGCTGTGCCCCAGAACTTCGTAGCCCCCCCCTCCAGAATCTTCCCAAACAGCCTCATCTCATGAACCATTTGTTCGTAGCCTACTCCCTGCCCCTTGGTGCCCATGTTGGCCTCTGGATCCATGCGCATCAACCATACTTCAGCAGGCGGAGTCCCTGATGGCACCATGCGTCTCTTACTGGCACTTTTGAAATATTTCTGGATTCTCCACTGATCCTTCCGAGCGAGCTCGCAATCCTCGGGCGCGGTGTAAGGCGCGGGGCCAGGTAGGCATTCGTTCAGCCAATCTTCGAAGATAGCCTTCCGAGCAGACATGCCCCCATCCCTGCCTTTCTTGCCCCAGTGGTCGAGCAACTCCTGCTTTGCGAAATAGCCCCCCCGCAAAAGCCGTCCGTCACGTCTCTTCGGTCCGAATCGGCACCTCGCCGCCTGCCTCGAACGTCCCGTAGCCTCCGCTAGGCGGCGGGCCTGCCACGCCTCCTCAATCTCATCCAGTAGAGTAGTACGGCGTTGCTGATCGAATTGCTGCCTTTCTCTCCTGAGGCGCTGACTCAACCTCTCCAACTGCTCCTCACACTCGTGCAGCTCTGCAGAATCCTCGTCCATGTCCTGTCGGGACCGTCTGAGTCGAGCACGATCTTTCAGAAGCTCGGTTCGCTCTGCCGCCGCACGCCTATATGCGGGATCGTTAGATGCAACATGGCCAAACATCTGCTGCCCGAGCGTTACCAGCACATCATCAAGGTGAAGAAAAATGTCGTCTGGTCTCCCGTCGGTAAGCATGGCCCTCCAAGTATCCTCAGTCTCTTGCAGGCGCGCTTCCACCTTCTCAAGAAACTCGGCTCGACGGAGTCCTCGTCGAAGACACTGCATAAGGTCGTCCTGATTCCACCTCATTTTTTCCGGTGATGGTGTCAGCGTCTCCTCCATGCCGATCGCTTGCATGCCGCGAAGCTCCATGTAGATTGGGATGTGGTCCTTCGGCGGGGCTCCCTTGAAGGCCTGCAGCTCCGCTCCCAGACTAAACAAAGGGGAAAACTTCTGTGCCATGTCGATCATACCATCTGGTATGAACAGGTAGTCGATGCAATTGCTGTGTCCAGACGCGTTGTAGAAAGTGTGCTCTAACGTCTGGCTGCGAGAACTCATCATGTACATGTGGTGTCGCTCATTTACCAGTCTCATCATTTCCCCCGCGCCCCCACGCCTTTGCTCTCGAGTTCGTCCTGGTCCCATTGACTGCGACTCCACATGCTGCCACCGACCAGAAATCCTACTGATGCCCATGCCGTCGTTCAGGTCCGCATACACCAGAGGTGTACATCTGCATGGTAGTTGTTGTAGGGCCCCCTCATACCACTGCGTCAGCATACGGACCGTCTCTTTGTAATGCGGGACCAAGCGAGCGTGTCGAGGTTGCGGTGGGAAGTACAACACAACTGCTGCCATATCTAAGGGGCCTCGTCGAACCCTCGCCGCAAGAGCGCGGCCCGCCGCCACCGAGGGGCTCGGCCATGTCCTGCACACGTGCTGCTCCTTGAACTCGTGGCCCAGGACGATGGCGCAGCCTGTGCTCTTGTTCGTGAACTCGCCCACGCCCGCCTCCGCCTCGAGAACGATCCTCTCCCCGATCCTTCGAGTCAGAACTTCATCATTACGCCTGTGCGTAGCCTGTGTGCCAGCGAGCATCACCACGTCCATATTTCCGCACGACATAGCCACCTCTTGGAGGCGGACGCCCGTGCAGAACATCGGGTTGTACCCAAGCGCCCGCAAGATCCACTGGCCCACGGGCCGCGCCATCGCGATGCGCGTGGCGCCAGGGCGGGCCATCCGCCCGCCTGCGCCGCGGCCGCCCCTCGCACGCTGCGTGCCAGAGCGGCAGCTAGGAGGAGGAGGAGGAGGAGGAGGAGGAGGAGGAGGAGGAGGAGGAGGAGGAGAGGGAGGGAGGGAGGGAGGGAGGGAGGGAACGAGGGAGGGACAAAGGGAGAGGAAGGGAGGGAGGGAGGGAGGGTGGGACGAGGAGGAGGAGGAAGGAGGAAGGAGGAAGGAGGAAGGAGGAAGGAGGAAGGAGGAATAAGAAACATACGAATACGAATAATAACAATAATATTAATAATAATAATAATGATAATAAAAACAACAATAATAATACTAATAATGATGATGATAATAGTTATAATAATACTAATACTACTAATAATAATAACAATAATAGTAACACTAGTAATTATAATGGTATTAATAGTAGTACGACTGACAATAGTACTATTCACCAGAGGAAGAGGAGGAGGGAGGAGGAGGAGGAGGAGGAAAAAGAGGAGGAGGAAGAGGAAGAGGAGGAAGAGTAGGAGGAGGAGGATCGAGGATGTGCCTTGAGCCAGGAGACGCGAGCCGCGAGCCAGAAACCAGGAGGAGCGAGGAACGCATTGCCATATGGGCTGCGGCCACTGCCACGGCGACGGCCACGGCGCCAGGATTGCCACGGCCGCGGCGGCGGCTGGCTGCGGACCGCGCTGCGCGACGCTGCCGCGGGGGCGCCGCGGACCGCGGCGTCGCGCCCATGGACCGCGGGCGCCGCGCGGCCGCGAGCGCCGTCTCCCGCCGTCCCGCCATCCCGCCGCAGCCTTCGTGGCTCGCTCCGCCCCCTCGCCGTCGCCATCGCGGCCTTCCTCACCGCCGCCTCCGCCCGCTCGCTCCCTCGCCGCCTCCATCGCGGCCGCCTCCTCGCCGCCGCCGGCGTCGTCACCGCCTGCCTTTCTCGCCGCCGTCGTCGTCGAAGTTCGCCGCCGCCGAGACAAGGACGACGACGACGACGACGACGACGACGAGACAAGGACGACGACGACGACGACGACGACGACGACGACGACGACGACGACGACGACGACGACGACGACGGCGGCGGCGGCGGCGGCGGCGGCGGCGGCGGCAGCGGCGACAGCCACCGCGAGGTCTTCAACGCTTTTCGCTTTTCTGGGTCGCCGAGGCGGTCCACTCACCGCCACGGCTGGAGGTGAAAATATACATAAAATGAAACAAGGCCATGAGTGTCGCAGTGAGGTCGCGCAGGGTGGTGGAGTGTACCTCAGGTTGATGGCGGCAATTTTCCATAGTGCCCTTCCGCGCCCACCCCATCCTGGTTACGCTCGCACCTTCCTTACAATGGGGAAATGGGTGGATTGGCCGCCTCCCCCCGCCGCCCTGGCGTCGCACGCGTGGCACGCCAAGTGATGTGATTTTCCAACAGGACGGCAGAGACTCTCGGGGGTAAGCCAGAGCTGTGTTGTATTTTCTCGGCGCCGTCGTGAAACAATGTCGGAACCTCATGCTAGGGCAAGGGTATATGGTCTCGGGGGCGCGAGTATTGCATATTTTACAGCGTCTTATGATTTCGGAGACGCGAATATGCGTAATCTGCAAGGGATTATAGCTTCGGGTGCCCAAATACTGCGTACGATACGAGGGCTTATGGCCTCGGGACGCGAACATTGCATACTTTACGAGGGATTATGGCTTCGGGGGCCCGAATCTCACGTATCTTTACGTGTCCCACGACCCCCCGGGAATTCAGAGCACGCGATTCGGGGACATTAGCCAGGACGCTTTTCGGCTCCACCCCCCCTCGCGCTTTCAGCAGCAAATTACAGTAGGAAGCAGAAAGCAGGATTGTAAAATTGGAGACTTGAAACTGGATCTGGTACAGGGAGCATGAAAGCCTAGTCTTCGCAGCCTGATGGCCCCGCAAGGGGGCCGGCGGGCTACATGTTCCTTTCGTACGTGCGCTTCCACGGAGGGTCCTTAGCACTGGTATGTCCTTCTGCGTCACTCAGAGGTTGCCCCAGGACAGGGCAGGGAACCAATTTTGCGGTGTCGTCGGTTCGCCGTCTCGCCCGGGGCGCCGCGATCGTGCCGGTCCGCCTCCCAGGCCCGCGGTTTCTGTCCACATTGTTTGTTTCGAGCGGGAAGGAGGAGGGAAGGGCAAAAGCAATAAGACGAGGAGGATGAAGAGAACGAGGAGGAGAAGGAGGAGGAGGAGGAGTAAGGAGGAGGAGAGTGAGGGGGGGGAGTAAGCAGCAAAGGAGCGAGGAGCAAAGGAGGATGGTGAGGAAGGAGGGCGGAACCAGAGAGGAGAACGGAGGGAGAGTGGGAGGAGGAGGAGGAGCTCGGAGGACCACCTTGTTCTCACCTTTTCCCTAATGAGCCCCCCCTCCCACCCTGGTTTTTGCCGGGTGGGAGGGGCTTGACAGGTTTGCATGGCGACAGACATTTCGACCGCCATTAGCAGCAGCTCGGAGGATGATGAGAGGAAAGCGAGGGGCGTGGAGGCGGAGATGGATGCGGTCGGGGGGGGGGTGAGGCCCTCGCCCTGGGCTGGCGCGGCTGCGTCGCGTCGACGGTTGTTCCCGCTGCGCGATTTGGGGCGCGCGCGCGCGCTCGGGCGGAATTCTCGCGCGAGGAAGCTGCGTCGCATCGGCGGGGGTCTCGTTCCCGCCTCTTCAGGATTCCCCTGGAAATGCACATGATTGCTGAGGGCATCCTCAGGGCTCCCGAGGATGTCCTTAGGATCCCATGAGATTTTCCTCGAGTTTCCTGAAGGGTCTGGAGAAGTCCTGGGGAAGTCCCTGGGGTTTCCTAAGAACACCGTTCCATGGGGGGGGGGCCCTGACGGTTCTAGACATACACTTCGAGGCGATCTTCGGGACGCCGTAGGAAGCTTTCCGGACTCCATCGTCAGGGGTTTGTGGATCCTGTGGAGTCCTAAGGTCCCAAGGACATCGTCAGGAAAGCTTCGAGATCTCTTTGGGGATCCTTCGGGTTGTTGCGGCAGAAATCGGGCGTGTTGAGGACATCGCCGCGACATCCTCAGGATAAGTGGGGACGTGGTCCAGAGGTCGTCAGGGTTCCCTGGAGTGCCTGAGAGGGGGCCCGGGAGCAGGGACCCCAACTCAGGGCCACGCCCGCCCGACGCCCGCGTGGCAAGGGGGGTGGGCCGGTATGCGGCTCAGTCTCACGGCCTTTGGTACCACATCGGAGGGGTCGGGGAAGCACGTGCAGGATGACTTCGGCACGCGAGTGCAAGATTAGTACAGGTCCTTTGTCATACCGACTCTTCCAGTAAGGATTATTGAGCAAGGATTCCTTACGTAAGGATTCTTTTTCGTAAGGCTTCCGTTGGTAAGAGATCGTTGAGTAATTATATCCAGACCCAGGATTCCTATAGTATTCCCCCTGTGAAGGTTCATCCTTATTCATTCCTTCAACCAGGAGTCTTTATTCAGGACTTCTTAGTAATGATTCCTTCGGTCATATTCATTTAGTAATGCGGTCAGGGAGGGGAGTTCTTCGCACGGAACCGTACATGCGCAGAGGGGGATCCACCATGCCTCTGGCGCGTGTGCCTTGGGCACGCGCTTTGACGTGTGCAGGCGCCAAGGGGGTAGGCAACATGTGGAAGAAGAGGGGGAGAACGAAGAGGAGGAGCAGGGGGAGGGGGCCCCGAGGCCCCAGGGGCCCAGGGGGGGAGACCGCGTATTGTGAGGAGGCCGCAGACGAATGACAGGGACCAGGCTAGAGCACGCAGCACAGCACAGCGTGCAATGCATGTCGCGGCGAGTCGCAGGATACGGTTTGACTCGATCAAGTTCCTCCCCATGGATCCCTCGAGTTATGTGCCAGGGTCTCTTGCTGATTCTTGTCAGGAACTGCGGAGGCCGACCAGTCGAATGTGTGCCGGGCGCTAGAAGAGGGCGCTGCCGCCTCCATGCGCTGCCTGGAGGCGGGCGAGCTTGACCTCGCCTGCCCCGTCGTTCGTCTGGCGCTCCGCTGAACGCTCAGGCCGACGGGCACTCGAGCCTGACGTTGGGCCGGTGCGGCGCGTGCTGGGGGAAAAGGTGCAGTGAGCAGGAGGAGGACTTGGCATCGCTCGGACGTGTGCATTTTCTCGGCGAGGCCAGCGCCAGAAAACCTTGACCACTCTGGAGCCTCTTGAAGCAGCTTGGTAGACAATCACGAGCACGAAACCAAACAATGCACGGGGAATGGACGTCCGAGCGACGGCAGGAGGAGGAGGAGGAGGAGGAGGAGGAGGAGGAGGAGGAGGAGGAGGAGGAGTTGGAGGAGGAGGAGGAGGAGGAGGAGGAGGAGGAGGAGGAGAGGAGGAGGAGGAGGAGGAGGAGGAGGAGGAGGAGGAGGAGGAGGAGGAGGGAGAAGAGGAGGAGGAGGAGCAGGAGGAGGGCGAAGGGCGGGAGGACGGGAGGAAACAAGACAGTGACGGAGGAGGGACTATGTAGGCAGGAGCGAGGAGGTAAGAATGACAGAAGGGGGCGGGAGGAGGAGTCCGAGGGCGACGACGACGAGGGCGAGGGCGAGGACGAGAACGAGGGGAGGGAGGGGAGGGGAGCCACGGAGTGGAGGTGGAGAGTAGCACAGGAGCAGATGAGGATGAGGGGAGAGCAGTGTTGAGGGAGGATGAGAAGAGGGATGAGGCAGGAGGTAGAAGTAGGGGGAGGCAGAACGGGCGTCTTTCCGCCCCCTGGAGGTCATTCGTGGTCTCGGGGGGTATGCGTGGCGGCAATCGGGAGTTTGCGGCATGGAGGGAGGCACGTAGGGGAGGAATGAGGGAGGAGGAGGAGGACGAGGAGGAGGAAGAGGAGGAGGCGCCCTGACATCCGGGCTTCGTGAGCCAAAACAATGACGGGCGTTTTTACCTCGTTTCGGGGCTTGGACCCCCACGGGCTGAGCCAGCTTCAGAAATGCCGCATAAAGGTGGGATCGGGAATTTTGGTCGTGAGTCTTCACGGCGTCGGATGTCTAGGGAGGTGGAGGAGGACAAGGTGGAGAAGGAGAATGCAGGTTGAGATGCCAGAGGGGAAGGATCGAGTAGATAGCGGGAGAAGGAATGGGAGACGAGGGCAGATGGACAGTTAGGAGGAGGAGGAGCCGCAGAGACGAGCGAGGGACAAAGGAGGAAGGACGAGGGAAAGGGATGAGGGATGTAGTTCTACAACCCTGGGGCCAGGCGGGAAGAGGTCTCGGCGGTGTTGCCATGCCGTTCCATGTCAGCAGCTAGCTCATTCGTCGCAGCCCCACTTGTTCGATCCAGTCATGCCCGCTTTAAGTATTGCAGAGGGCAGCTTCAGAATGCGTCGCGCCGCAGATCAAAAGCGAAGCAGAAGAAGCCGTTGAGCGTGTCCGCCAACTTCAGCTGCGCCTTCAGTATCCCGGACAGCGATGTTGGGGAGGTCCGGTGCTGCGTTGTGTTGAGCCATGCTTCGCTTTGTTTCAGCAAGAGACCATTTCTTCATTGCTTGGGGCATGACGGGCGTCATGGCCCCCGCCCCCCCTATGACGTAACGCTCCCCCCTCCAGTGCGGTCCGGGCACTGCCGCCGTGCGCATTGGGATCCGCGTAGGTGTCCGCATACGAATCGGCAAAGGAGTCTCGTCTGCAGTCGTCGTCGTCGTCGTCGTCGTCGTCGTCGTCGTCGCTCGTGGCTCGTGGCTCGTGGCTCGTGGCTCGTCGCTCGTCGCTCGTCGCTCGTCGCTCATCGTCGTCTTGCGCGCGGACGCGGCTGGAGCCAGTGTTTTTGGTACAAAAACAAATCAATCCGGGCCGATGACGGCAATCATCTGGGGGGGTGGAGGGGGTCGATGTCGTCACGCTTCGCGCCGGTGGCGCCTGGGAATGCCTAGGAATGGCGGAGGACGGGTGGCACCGGCATGTATGTGGAGATTTGCGCCACAACGCCTGTGTACACCTCAGTGCCTGCGTGCACCACAGCGCCTGTGTACACCACACCGCCTATGTACACCACAGCAGCCGCGTGCAACACAGCGTCAGTTTGTGCCTCCGCGCGCGCGGGCACAACAGCCTCAGCGCCTGCGTACACCACATCAGCCGTGTGCAACACAGCAGTATACACCACAATGCCTGCGTGCATTGCAGTGCCTGTGTACACCACGGCGCTTGTGTGCACCACAGCAACCGTGTGCAACACAGCACCACTGTGGCATGTAGAACGTTAAAAGGGTTCTTGATGACAAAATGGATCGCTTTTGGATTCCACCGAAAACACTAGAACATAATCCTTATGGACAAGGGAGCGCCAGGGGAATCTACGAGTCCTTCCGAGTTCGCCCGGATCACCGTAACTCCTCCCATCTGCGTCCAGAAGGCTCCACCTAAATTGGCCGTCCGAGAACCAAGTGGGCCGACTCAATGGACCGTTCTGCGGTGCACGCTGAGTTGCGCACGTGCGCTGTAGCGCCAACCCGCACGACATGGGGTAAGGAGGAGGAGGAGGAGGAGGAAGAAGAAGAGGAGGAAGAGGTGGAAGTGGAGGAGAAGGGAAGAGGGACACACGTCGCATTCGATTATTAACACTTTCCTGGCGTGGCGCTTCCGAAGCATATCCTCACATACAAGCCTCTTCTACTTGTCCTATGCACGCAGGCGCTGTGGTGTACAATAGCGTTGCGTTGCACGCGGATGTTGTGGTGTAGACAGGCGCTGTGGCGTGCACAGGCGCCGCGGTGCACGCAAGCATTGTGGTGTACACAGGCGCTGTGTTGCACATGGTTGCTGCGGTGTGCACATGTACACCTTCGCTGTAGTGTACGCAAGCGCTGCAGTGTACACAGGCGCTGCGTTGCACACGGTTGTTGCGATGTACGCAAGCGCTGTGGTGTACACGCGAGTTGTGGTGCACGCGAGCGTTGTGGTGTACACAGGCGCAGTGGGGCAGATCGCCACCTATGTGCTGCTCGCGTCGTCGTCGTCGTCGTCGCTTGTCGCTCGTCGCGTCGTGCGCGCGGGCGCGGCTGTGCGCACCATAGCCAGTTTGTCTCAAGCCAAATTGGCTCAAGCCTCCTAAGGTGTTCTACAGCTGCTCTCGCCCTTACATACATTCCGATTTGATGCAGAGCTTCCTCGTGCTCTTCTGCTGCGCCGCCAGGCTGGTCAGCTCCCTCCGCCATCCCCAGGCGTCCGCGGCGCCCGCGCCGTCTCCGCGCCTGGCGGCTGCCGCAGACGCCCCCTCGCGGCGGGACCGGATCGCTGTGTTCTCCGCCCAATTTGGCGGTCGAGACCGTATTGCGTATAGAACGACAATTCGTGGGGACATGGGTGAGGACATGGGTGATGAGGACGTCGGTTTCACTCGATGGGCTGAGGCATCTGGTCCGGCGGGGGAAAAGCTTCCAGATAGTGTCGATATGTTTCTTTATACCGATATGATCAACGTTTCGCAAACAAACACTTCTGCATGGAAGTTCGTATACCCGGCGATGCAGTCAGAACAGCTTTGCGATGACAACGTATTATGTCTGTGGAAAGGGAACCATCATCTCACGCCGTCCCAGAAAAAGATGAAGTCCATTTCGGCATCAAAGTTTTTCAAGATACGCTGGATTGCCGAAAGCACACAATATGATTACATACTCTGGATGGATGGTAAATATTTGACAAGAAACCAGAATCTGATTCAGACAATCAAGGAATATATGGGGAAGACTGTTGACATGCTTGTCATGAGACACCCTGGGAGAAAGCATGTTGCGCAGGAGGTGGGCCCAGCAAGCGAGCGTGCAGCGGATCTCTTGGGTGATCCTTCTGTCATCCAGAGAGCAAGAGAAATATTTGACGGGTACTTGCATGAGGGTTTTTCGGATAAGATTGGACTCTTTGATTCAGCCATGTTCATCGTGAGACCAGCGCGCGTGCGTGATATGTTCATCGATTGGTGGCACGAAGTACAGCGAGGAGTTCCTCGTGATCAGATATCGTTGCCTTGGATGATCCAGAAGCATGGCATCAACTTCGTCTCCATAGCGCCTAAACCCTGTGCCGTCTTAGGCCGAGGCTGCAAGAACCCACATTCGCATCATTGAGAGCGCCGCCACACTGAACACGCACAACACACTACGCACACAGCACACATCGCACACGTTTTCATTCTCAGCGCGCGTTTGGCGCAGCTCGCGGTTGGCGCGCATTTGGCGCGTCGACTGCTTCGCCTTCTGGCACCTGACGTGTTTGTTGGTTGCCAGAACGAGCGGCAAAAAAAAGAGGCACCCCTGTCCGCCCACTACGGTCCCAAGAGGGGCCCCGGGGGGGGATTCGAACCCACATTTTGAGGCCTCCGTTCCAAGAGGACCCCGGAGATCGCCAGCAGGCCCCCAAGAACCTCCCCAAGAGGACCCGAAAAGGCTCCCAAGAGCCCCGAGAGTGGCCCCAAGAGGTGTCAAAACTGCCTCCACGAGGCTGCCCAGAGACTTCCCCAGAGATCCGAACAGGCCTTCAAGAGGTCTCACACCAACAACCCAGGCCCGGTGGCCCCTCCCTTCTGTCCTCACATTGCGAGGTCTCGAGCCCGAGAGGCCCCCAAGAATCGGGTATAGCCAGTCCGTAGCCATTTTGGCTCAAGCACTTCTGGCTCAAGAGCCCTCGGTGCAAACCGCGCAGGCGGCGCCTGTCGGCAGGCGCGCCCGTGGATCCGCAGCGGTGGCCGCACCGCCCACCGCGGGTGGCCAGGCTGCGCCACGGGCCGATCTCCGCGAGGCGTCGCGGGAGGAACATGGACGACAGCGCAACCCCGCATGCGGCAGTTCGTGCGTGGTCGAGCACCGCAGGTTCGCAAATTCAGGACGTGCTGTTCGAGCTGAACAACAAGGTAGCTCAAGAGGCAGCGGACCAGCAGGCGATTACCGAGAGGATGATCGACGACAAGTTCGCCGCGATGAGACAAGAGATGTGGGAGAGGCTGGACGAGGTCATAAATCAGACGGATGTCCAGCGCAGGGACTTCGTGGAGCAGCTAGCGGCGCTGACCCAGGCCACCAAGGGCCTGGTTGCGGACGCCAGGCGGGCGGAGATGGACGCGCTGCGCCAGGACGTCGCCGGCCAGACTCCGCCTGCGGAGCCAGCGCCCCAGCCGGCCCCAGTGCTCGACGAGGCATTGGCGGAGCTGCGGGCGCGGTTGGAGGAGGTGGAGAGGAGCCACGGCGGCGGCCACCACCACCATCACCATCACCACAGATCAACAAGCAGCGTCTCCAACGACATCGGCGTGACGACAGCGCACGAGAAGGAGACTGTAGACATGTCGGTCGAGCAGGTCAAGCAGTCGTTGCGGCTCTCCGGCGCAGAGATGGACATGGATGGCAACGAGGCGACCTTCGAGGCCGATGGCGGCGATTGGGACGAGAATCGCGAGCAGTCGCAATGGACTGGACCGGCGATACTCAGGTTGCCTCCTCCTGCTCCTCCTCGAGCCGACGGTCGGGGAGTGCGTTTTCGGCGCGCGCCCCGCGGGCTTGGAGGAGCAATGCTTTGTGGTGTAGAGTACCGCGAAAGTCGATCTTAACCGCAGGGGGAACCTGCATTTTTTTTCTTCGGATTTGCACGTGCAGGCTCCTTGACACGAATTTCATGGATTGCCCCGAGTGCTCCGCAACCACGCTCCTCCATGCGCTAGTCGATCCTAGCCGCAGGGGGAACAAAAAACTGCAGATTTGCACGTGTGGGCTCCTTGACACGAATTTCATGGATTGCCCCAAGTGCTCCGCAGCCACGCTCCTCCATGTGCTAGTCGATACTCGCCGCAGGGGAAATACTGCTGGTTTGCTGCAGATTTGCACGTGCGGGCTCCTTGACACGAGTTTCATTGATTGCCCCGAGTGCTCCGCAGCCACGCTCCTCCATGTGCTAGTCGATCCGAGCCGCAGGGAGACATGCTGTTATTTTGCTGCAGATTTGCACCTGCGGGCTCCTTGACACGAATTTTATTGATTGCCCCCATTGCTCCGCAACCAAGGTCCTCCATGTGCCCTCTTTTTTTGTTTGAGAGTCCCCAGGGGGCCCGAGGGAGCCACCAGAGGATCCCTACATGGTCGGAGAGGGCTCCATGAGGGCCCCAAGACGGCTCAGCTACCCATGACATGCCAAGAGGGGCTTGGCCGAGATGGGGCTCCCAGACGGGCCACAAAAGGCCCCAAAGGATTCCCCCACGACTGTCCAAGAGGCCGCTGAGAAGGCCCTCCAAAGGCAAAATCAAACATTTCCGATGGAAAAACGTATATCTTTGGGAGCTTCGCTTTTCAGTTCTACCAGCGGTCGCGACGGCCCAAGAGGTTACCACCAAAAAATGGGCCCCAGACGGCCCCAGAGGCCCGACAGAGGGTTCCAAGATGGGCTGAAGAGAGCTTCAAGCGGCACAGAAGAGCTGCACGACGGCTCAAGAGAGCCCGAGGGGGCCACCAGAGGATTCCTATGTGGTCGGAGAGGGCCCTAGGAGGGCCTCAAGACGGGCTGAGCTCCCCACGACGAGCCAAGAGGGCCCTGGAACGGCCGAAACGGGTCTTCAGACGGGCCAACAAAGGCCCCAAAGGACTCCAAAGGAAGGCCCGGAGAAGCTCCAGAGACTGCCACAATGCTTCCAAAGAGGCTCCCGGCACGCGTTCCAGTAGGCACCCGTGTACTGGGTGCGTTGAGAGAAGAGAGGAGGAGGATGACAAGGAGGAGGAGGAGAAGGAGGAGGAGGAGGAGGAGGAGGAGGAGGAGGAAGAGGAGGAGGAGGAGGAGGAGGAGGAGGAGGAGGAGCAGGGGGAGGAGGAGGATGATGATGATGAGGAGGAGGAGGAGGAGGAGGAGGAGGATTGTTGTGGTGGTGATGGTGAAGGGGACCATGACCATGACGATGACGATGAAGATGACGGGGATGAGGATGACAATGATGACTATGATCATGACCCTAGCTAGAACTTGAGTGCGCGCGAAGCGCGCGCGATGGCTCTAGTATATGTATATATATATATATAGCTCCAGAGCGTTCCAGGGCGCTCTGGAACGGCCGCGGCGCCCGATGCATCTTCCAGAACCGCTAGAACTCAGGAATCCCCGACATGTCCAGGACCGATTCTGTCCCGGTCCTGGGTTCGTCTCACCTGGTGAACATCGGGCGGGTGATATGGGGGGGTGACTTCAATGAGGGGGTCCTGGGCCCTCTTCCCAGACATGCGACGTCTTGATTTTTTCAGGACGGCGACCCTAGAAATCCCGACCTTTTCCCGGGACCGGTTTTTCGTCCTGGGTCGTTTTTTGCCGGTCCCGAGGCCCGGCGAGGGCCCCCCGGGGCCGAACACAGCCCAAGACCTCCCGCCCTGAATTTTAGACGACGCGATCATGTGTGGGTTCTTCGCCCCTCTGTTGGTCCCCCCCCCCCCCCTTCCCAACCGCCCGAGAAGAGGTCGAGGCTTCGGGGGGCCCCGTTCTGAGCACGTCCGCGCGCCGCCAGGGGCGTGGGGAGGCCGCCCCCTCTGCCCTCGCCCCTCTCGTTCCCCCGTGCGCGCGCCGCCTCTCGCAGGCCTCCCGACAGGGAGAGGGTCTCCCAAAGCGTGTGGTGACGGACCGCGTGGTGACTTCGGAATCCCCAGCGCCCTCACCGCGCGGTCTTGGGACCTCGGAGGCCCCATTCGCCCGGGACGTCCGCGGAAAACGGCCCGAGTCCAAAGAAAACGCGGTGATCCCGAATCTACACACACACACACCACACCAGCCCTTCTCCGATTGTCCGGTCTCGAGGGCATACCTCGGGCCTCCGGCGGCCGTTCTGGACGATCCGGGTGCCCCCCGAACGCCCGCGGCGAGGCGTCGAGGCGCAGCTGCTGGAACGTAACCTTGAGGCGACAAAACCTGCAGGAACCAGCTACAACCTCCAGAAAACAACGCTCGTCGTCGTCGTCGTCGTCGTCGTCGTCGCACCGCTTGGGGCTCCCCGAGAGGAAGGAGTCGGCGGCGCGCCGAGGGAGGAAGTGAGAGGAGGCAGGCATTCTCAGAAGGCGGCGGGGCTTCTCAGAGCCCGCCTGGCCTCCTGAGAAGATTTGTCTGTGCCTTCGGGCAAGGCTCAGGATACTTCTCCGAGGCCCTCCGAGTCTTCTGAGAAGGCGCGCTCCTTCTCGGACGCCTGCTGGTTTTTGGGCCACAATTCGGCTGTCCGGCGGCCGCTCGGGACGATCCAGGCACCCCCAGAAGGCTCTCGGCGAGCCGTAGCCACACGGGGGGGGGGGGGGCGTTACGTCATCCCCCCCCCTGCCCCCCCCATGACGCCCGTCATCGCCGAACATCAAGAAGCGTTCTCCAATCCTCATGGCGGAGGAACGCTTAGATTAGCAGAGTATTGCAAGTTTGAGCGATCAAAATACCGATACCAGCGCGAAATATCCATGTGAACAGACGGATCATCAATCATCAGGATACGCACATGTTCCAGTCCTCCCGAAATGGGTCGAGTAGATGGGGTTGGTGAATCGCGCCGGATCGCCAATGCATCGGCGATGCAGCTCGATGTGGAACCCGATGTTCTCCACGCCCATGTCGCCGATGCATCGCCGACGTCGCCGATGCATCGCCGAGGCATCGGTAATGCATCGACGACGCAGTGCGATCCTCCGACACCATCTACTCCGACCCCATCTTTGAGGCTTCTACATGTGCACGTTAGCGGCGCTTGGACCCCAAAGCAGGAGGCGGAGCGCGGGACGGGGTCAAGGGGCAGCGCCAGTTTTTGTTCATGCGAGGGCGACCATCTAGTGGCCTTCGGACCGTCCCGCCATCTCGCATGGGCCGTGTTCTCGAGGCTTTACGGGCATCGTGGGGCTTCCAGTGGGCTTCTTGGAGTTCTCCAGTGGGGCCTTTTTGGCCCGCTCCTCATCGCATTCATCGCCCGCCGCGGGAACGTGGAGTTCGAGGTGTATTTGTACACCGTCGCGGACCCGATGGCTGCTGGGTTTTTCGTTGGAGCAGCGCAGGCGATTGCGAGGTCTTGGGAGGATGCGCGTGGCCAGACCCAGCGGTCGAGGTCTTCATCGGCGACCTCCCGACCATCCAGGAATGCGGCGAATGCACGGGCGAGGCGCTGGTGCAGGAGTGCGGCGAGCTTTCCCCCGTACCCGCCTCCCCGACGATGGAGGGGGCGACGTTGCATCGCTTCGAGGGCGTCGAGGCGCCGTTCGGTGTGGTCGAGGGAGCTGGGACCGAGAAGATCGAGGGGACCCTGAAAGCCACGGGGGGTTCGCAGTGCATCCTTCTGAGTCCGCTCTGTGAAGACCCACCCTCGCCAGAACTTCGTCTTCCGACACAGCCATTGGGTGCGGTCACATCGCGAGGGGAGGCCAGCGAAGAGGGAGCGGGCGGCTCGTGGTCCTGCACGGTGTCGTCCACGGCGGTTCCGGCGACTCCCTGCTTGGACGACTTCATCCGCGCAGCGGGCGCCTCCGCGCGAGCGGGCACGCGCCAGGAAGCCGCAGGACGCGCTGCCGCTGGGGGTCCGCTGGGCCCCCTCTCTCCGAACGAGGCGAGACCGCGGCGCAAGAATCCGCGAGCGTGGACGCGAAAGGCGGCGAGGCGTTTTTCGAGGACGCGGGCGGCACCGTGCGGTTCAAGGTGCAGGAGTTCGCGAACGAGAACGAGCATGACGACGAGGCCCGACTCGTGGACACGGGCGGCACCGAACAGGTTGAGGTGCAGCGAACGCGGAAGCGAAGGACGTCGAAGCCATTCTCGACGGCGCGCGGACGGCAACCGAGCAGGAGATCGAGGTGCAGAAGTTCGCCAACGTGATCGCGGAGGCGTTCGCCGAGGACCTCATAGGCCCGCGCGCAAACGTGGCACTACAAGCGGCGCGGCGATGGAGGGGCTCATCGGGCCAATGGACGCGCTCCCCAGGGCGTTCGCGGAACTCGTCGGTACGGCGGGGGGGGGGCCCGAGGAGATCTATTCGGTGATATTCTTCTGCTGGCCCGAGGAGGCGCCCCCCGTAGAAAAAAACGCTCAGGAGATGGCGCCTACAGGACGTTGGCGGGCGGGCGCGGGCGGAGGCAGTGGCTGCGATTATTCCGACTTTCCCGTCCTGGGAGCAGAGCGTCTGCGTCGGAGGGGGGGCAGGAGATGTCCGAGGAGTCGTTGGTGGGGTGCCTTCGGTGCCGACCGCGGAGGTGCTGCTTTGTTTGCACCTGTTGGGCAGGGCCGCGTCGATCTTGCAGCAGCACAGCGCCTCTTCTGGGACGAGGTCTTCACGGAGACCGCCGAAAAGGGTCCTCCTGGAGCCCTGGTGCGAGCACGTCTTCGTGCAGGTGCAACCTGGTACACTTCCCGACGGCGTATGGCAAGGTCGACGAGGGCAGGCTGCGGGCTCCGGCCAGCCCAAGCAACCAGCCCCAGGGCGTGTTCGACTCGCTCAGCCTCGTGTGTGACAGGGTTCATGACAGGCACGGCGACACCGTCGAACACTCGGCGGAGGTAGAGCCCTGAGCTACGGGGGGAGGGTGGCGACAATGCCTTGCCAGCTTGCTGATCGGACCGCCGCCCTCCGCTACGCGGTGGTCGATGGCACTAGCACCGAGTACGAGCACTCGGAGCTCTGAGCTGCGAGGCCGTGTCCGAGCAGCTGCCGCCGCGGCGGCAAGGCGGGCATTCGTCCGCCTCAGGTTCCATTCCGTTCCTCATCCTCCCCCTCCATGGGGTGCCACTCCGCCCGCGACGTCAGCGGGCATGTGCGCAGGAGCGTGCAGGCAACAGAGCAGGCAGGCACCTCCTGGGGCACAGCGGCGACGGGCAAACAAGAGGACGGCTATAAGGATGTGATCGTTGACTAGAGAAGCACCGCCTACCGCCTGATTATCACTTCCGCTTCACCACCAGCTAGAAGACGAACGGGGACAGCGAGGGAGACTGGAACGGCGCTCTCACGGCAGCCTACTGCGTGCAGCTCGAGGGCGTGAGCGTGTGAGACTGCTGCTGAAGCAAACCGTTGCCCGTGGTAGCGCCTGACGCACGGGCCAAAGCCCAGCCTCAGCACCATGTCCAGCGAAGTCGTAGACACCGTGCGATTACGGACGAAAAGAGAGCGAGAGCCCTCCTCCCTCCGCCTCCTCCTGGGTCCTGAGGCAGCCGAGTGGCTCCCCACCCCTCGCGCCACCATGGGGGCCCGGACCCTTGGGGGTAGGCCCCCCGTCATTCGATTTGGCCCTGGTCGCGCGTGGGCGAGTGGGTGGCCCGCGCGCCGCTGGCAACTTTCACTTCCGCAGGAGGTTCGGGGTCGAGCGAAAAGACGTTGGCCATGGCCAAGAAGATGCTTTCTCAGATGTTTTGATGCTTCCCATCTGGGGTCGGAGTAGGGGTGGTTGAAGGACCGCGCCGCCGTGCCGATGCATCGGCGATGCGGTTCGATGTGGAGCCCTTGTTTTTCCATTCGGATGGCGCCGTTGCATCGCCGACTTCGACGACGCATCGGCAACGCGTTGCCGATTCGGCGCGGTCCTCCGACCCCATCTACCCGGACAGCGCGTGGGAGGCGTTTAGCTGACCGTGGACCAGATGTCGCGACATCTTGTCGACGCCGTCCATGCCGGCCGTAAACGGACCCGCGAGGATCATGCACAAGTCGACGGTGACCAAATTGGACGGTGACCAAAATTTTCCACCGACGCTTCCGCATTCGGTTTGTGCCATAGTTCGCGGTTTGTCCTTCCAGGGGGGGAGGGAGCGGGAAGCGAGCCTGAAGGCGGCGGAGACGGACGCGCGGCCAGGGGGAACGCGAGGCACTTAACCCCCCCGTCTGGCTCTCGCGCGCACGCCGGAGGTAAGGAACGGAGGATGAAAAAGGGGAGGGGGGAGGGGACAGGAGAGGATGGGCGGGAAGGGAGGAGGGGGAAAAGGAGGGACGGGGAGGAGGGAGGGGGAGGGGACTGGCGGGAGCTGGGGAGCAACGTGGCGACGGCGCAGTTCCCCCATCCCCCCCGTTCACTCCCCAATGTCCCTCCTCGTCCTCCTCCCTCCTTTCTCTCCGTTCGCTCCCCCTTCCCCCCTCCCCCGTCTTTCCTCCTTGTCGTGGCCCAGGCCAGGTGCGGAAAGGGAGTGGAGGGGCGGGAGCTGGGAAGCAGCGAGGCGACGGCGCAGCTCCTCCCTCCCCCCCTTTACTATCCTCGTCCCTCTTCCATCTCCGGCCCCTCCCTCCTGCGCCACCTGTTTCCCCCCTTCCTTTTCCTCATTCCCACTCCCTCTCTCCTCGTCGTGGTCACCATCCAGGTGCGAAACCTGAACACCGTCACCCCGATCGAGAGAGGCCTGCGCGCGGGCACCGCGCGGAATGCACGGCGGCGCGGCGCACTCGGGGCGTCGGACGAGGAGGAGGAGGAGGAGGAGGAGGAGGAGGAGGAGAGGAGGAGGAGGAGGAGGCGGAGGCGGAGCCGCTCAAGCCGCTGCCCGCCGCCTCGGCCGCGCGCGCCATCGATCCGCCGGGGCGTCGTCGCCCGGCAGCAGGGGCGGCCGCTGGCACGGCCGCGATCCGGGGTGCCCAAGCTGATGGCCATGGCGTTCGCTCGCGCCCTTGCCGCTGGGATCCTCGTGGCCAGGCACGTGGGCGCTCAATCCGGCGCCCTCGGTCTCGACACGCAGCTGATGCAGATCTCCTCCGAGCTCCAGTTCTCGTCCGAGCTGAGCAGCGGCGTCCTCTCCGAGGCGCTCGGCCACCTGAGCGCGGAGGGGAAGGCTGAGGGGAAGGCCGAGGCAAAGGCCGACGCGAGCGCCGAAGCCAACGCCGAGGCCATTCAGGCGCGCATCAGCGCTTACTCGAACGAGGAGGTGGGCGTTGTGGGCTACGTGGGCTGGGCGGGCGGCGGCCGCGGCGCCTGCAACCCGCTGACGTTCCCCGACGGCGCGCTGCGCGCCAGCCAGGACCTGGTCGTGACCGAGAGCGAGGCGCTATACATCGCCACGTCCCTGCTCTCGGACCTCTCCGCGATGGCCTGCTACTCGGACGACGGTGGTGGGTCCTACAGCGGGTGCAGCATGCTGGAGCTCCAGGGGGACTTGCTGGCCATGGGCCCCGTTTTCGCCGTCATCGACACGACCAGTTCCCATGTCTCGATCGCGAGCCTCTCCGACGCGGCTGCGGTCTGCTTCTCGAGCCCCGGCGGGGCTGGCACCTGCAGCACGTTCGCGGTGTTCGGCTGGTCGCTCAGCCGTGGCAAGACCATGATGGTGAATGAGGCGGCGAGGTCCCTGGTGTCTGTGGTGGGTCTCTCGACAGAGGAGGCCATCTTGTGGATCCTGGGCGACGGCAGCGACCGCGTCGACACCTGCCTCTCCCTGGGGAATGACGGCCTGGCGGTCACGGCGGGGGAACGCTTGACCATCACCCTTGGCGTCACCAGCAGCAACCTCATGAACATCGAGTTTCACAACCTGGCCGGCTCTGAGCCCGCCCAGCTAACGCACTGCATTAATTCACATAGTGCCGCTGGCCAGTCGTTTTCTCCTCCGCCCCTCTACTCTCACGTCCTTTCCCAACCTGGCCGCAGCATTCGTCGTGGTATTTCCTCGGCCAGCCATGCCAACGAATTTCTATTTTATTTTGCAACCGCAGCTAATGTATCCATTCGCGAATTAGAAACAGCGAGCCTTTCATCCCCCGCTGTTTCCTGCACTTCCCCTTGTCTCGAAACAGGTTTTTCACGCAACGTTCGTGCCGTTTCCTTTTCTGGGGCTAGTCTGCAGTATAGCGCGCCACTCTATCAGTCCGCATGTCTTTCAAATCACGCGTCCGCTCCCAAATTAGAGGCGGCCGGCCCTCCTTCAGCTCTTTCCTCCTACACTCTCCTCTCCCCCTTCCCCGCCCCCGACCACGACAGCCGACCACGACCGCCGACGACAGCCGACCACGACGGCCGACCCATCCGCCGACAGCCGACTACGACTGCAGCGGCCAGAGGCTCCAGGCCCCCCAGCGCCCCTACGAGCTCGACGGCCAGACCCTGCATCGGTGGCGTGGCAGCGCTTGGCGGCTCGGCCAAGGCGGCCGGCGGCTCGACCACGTGGGGCTCCACAGGAAGCAGCGCGCTGGACAGCAGCGGTGCTTCGTGGACGCCCACGCCTTCAGGGAGCATGCTGTATCCTAGATGCCAGGCGGAGGAGGAGGAGGAGGGGGTGACCAGCAGTCCGAGCAGCCCGACTGGCAGCAGCACGTGGCCGCAGCAACGCGCCGTACCTGCGCAGGGGCCTGGCCCACCATGGAGGGTTACGTGGAGCCACGGGGTCAATGTCCACGAGGCAAGTCTTATGGCCCTTCCCACCCTGTCTCTGCCTCTCGCCGACCCGACCGCTACTTCTCTTTCCTGGCCCCCGGCCTTGAACCTTCCCGACTTTGTCCCTGCAATAGTCATTCTGTTTATCTGATAATGCTGGTCCCTGCTATTGCTGTTGCATGCTCTCACCCCTCTGCCCGTAAACATATTGGCTGAGGGGGCCCCCTTCTGCCTACGCTACCAGCTAGCATAACGTATCACTTGCAGCGAGAAGGTCTTGGAATAAAAGATTCACGCGTACTTTCAGCACCTGCGTGCGCGTTGCATTGGCAGCGGAGCGTGTATATTCCGAGCTCCCTCGCAGGGAGAACCCTTTCGGCATCAGACAGTTACCTCCCGGACACTCCCGTGCAGTCGGACAGATTCCGACGGATATCACATCTCGCACGATGGCTGACCGGAGGCCTGCTGCTGCCGCTGGTTCTCGTGGTGCCGCTGCACCAAAGAAGTACGGATATCGTCGATACTGAGGCAAGCACCCTCGAGATGGAGCCGCGGCAGCGGCAGCGTCTGTGCCCGACGACGAGACCTACGAAGAGGAATGGGCCGACGAGTGGGCTGGTGAGGACTGGGCCGAGGACGACGACGAGGAGTCGGAGATTCCACCGAGTTCGGCGGAGTTTCGACGCACCCGAGGTGATCGCAAGAAGTGGCGCGGAGGACCATGCCCAGCCCCACCGCCACTCGAGGCCAGGTTTCAGAATATATACAAGCAGCCGAGATACTACCAGAAGTGGGTTAGGAAAGTACACATGTGGAAGGCCAGGGCGCGACACTACAAGCCGATGGCCGAACTGGCCCTGGACCTTTCAGACGTCATCACGGGTGAAGGCGCAGAGATGATCGAGTCCTTGGAGTGGACCCGGTTGTATTCACAGGATGGTATTGATTTGGTGATCAACTCCCTCGCCGTGTTTGATGAGCAGCAGATCCTACAGGTTGGAGACCTCATGGAAGAGTATGAAGAAGTGGAGCGTCTGCCCGGTGAGCTGCTGGCCGCGTACGTTGCGCATTTCAAGGATCTCGAGATGCGGCTCAAACGGGCAGAGCTCCCAGCTCAGCAAGGACAATTTCGAGCATTCAAGTTGTTGCGAAGTTCATGTTTATCGCCGGAGGTCCGGCGCAACCTTCTCCTCGCCACGGGCAATGAGTATGACTTCGACCGCCTGGTTCAGGCTATGAGTGTGCAGTGGCCGTCCACCGCCCCCAACTGGGTCGCACCAGTACGACGGATGGCACGTAAGAGACTCGGTGAGGCGGCCGCTCCTGAACGCAGGTCAGCTGGTCGAGATTCCGACAAAGGAGGCGGCAAAGGACGAGATAGACAGCCACCGAGTCGAGCTCCTCGACCGCCGCCGAAGCCGCCCCACGTCAGCGAGGCTGACATTATTCCCGAGGACGAGGCTGAGGAGAACGAAGATGAAGATGACCCCGATCAAGCAGAAGTCAATGAGGCTTACGCCGAGGAGGTTGACAGTATCCAGGTCATGCAGGAGGTGGCGGACGCTTTGACCGTCACCAGCGACAAGTTGAAGAAGCTGACCTTGGGCCGCGGGTGGACCGGAAGGTCCTCACCGCCGACGCCTGGAGACCGACGCCCGCCACCGCGGTCAGCGCCCTCTGGGGGTGCCACCGCCCCAGCGGGCCGGCCGTCCCCAGCGCCGCCCGGCAGGCCGCCGCAGACATCGTCAGCACCGCCACAGAGAGGCACTGCGACGCCGCCGGCCGGCACGTCTTTTTCAGGAAGCATTCGTGGAACATTTACGGGAGACCGATCCGGAGATTCAAGAGCACCGGCGGCATCTCAGAGGCCAGGGTTTCGCCAGACGTCTTCGAGGACCGGCTACAAGGATAAACGCGACCGAGCTCGCGCCGTTCATGCACCTCTCGCCCGACGAGCTGCAGCAGCGCGTGGCCGCCTTCAAGAGCAGGGTCGCCACCAGCGACAAGGGGGCCTCTCACGTTCGATTTCAGGCAACGCCAGAAGTGCGTCAGTTTTCCGCGGATTCTCGCGGAGCTCAGGCGGCGAGAAGCGGGACAAAATCATCGCATCAGGTCGACGTCATCTGGCATGTCCGGACGCCCTTGGACGTTTGCTTCCTCGAGGATTCCCAGGGTTTCTACATTGTCATCGACACAGGTTGCCAGCGCAACGTTGTGGGCTACGAGTGTTTGGGAAAGTTTCTGGAACATATCGCCTACCTGGGATTGAGTTTCTGGGAAGCTGAGGAGCAAGAGAGGTTTCGGTTTGGAGTCAGTCGTGCGGTGAGCAAATCTGTGGTGTATTTCCCGATATGTCTTGAACACGTGGTGCCCCTGGTTTGCCGTACCTCAGTCTTGGACGTGAACCCTAAGTTGCCTTTCTTGGGATCGTTACCGATGTGGAAGCTCTTGGGCCTCCAGCTGGACACCTTGGGGGAAAGGGCTCATTTCACCAAGATCAACCTGTACGACGTGCCCTTGAAGATTGCCCCGAATGGCCACTTGCTTCTGAGAGTCGACTCTTGGTTGAAGGATGTGGGGTTCCCAAGGGAGCCCGAGGCCTGGAAGTTCACCCCCTCGGACGTCATCATCCCGGAGCCCCAGTGGATCCCAGAGGCACCAGCCTGTGTTTCCGGAGATAGTTGTGCTCAAGCCGAGTCTCAGCCTATGCAGTTTTCACGCGCAGCACTGTGTGCTCTTACATATACTCACCGCGGGCTGCGTCAGCCTCGCGAAGTCCTGCCCTCCGTGCCAGACGGCTGTAACCTGACCGACGCCACGCCCGTGTTCGAGAGCATCCTCGGTCTGTCGGTGAATGAAGTCGGTCAAGTCGGAGTCGCAGGAGGCCCGATCGTCTCGTCGTACAGTTCAGCTGACGAGGCAGAACCTGGCGATCAACGCGTGGACGAACCTGATGCAGCTGATCATGAACCACCTGTCGCACATCATCGGTCGCAGTCGCGAGCAGTTCCGGCAGAACATGGAGATGTCGAACCGG